AAAAAAAAAATATTTTTTTTTTTTTTTTTTTTGCCCTCCCCAGGCTCCGGAGGCTTTCCTGAAGCCTCGAGAGGGCGAAAACAGCTTCTCCCGGCCCTCTGAAAGGCCAAAAATCAGCTGGCGTGCCACATTTGGCACACATACCATTATGGGCCTAGGCACTAGCAAGAAAGCAGTTTTGAGTTCAGGTCCTGCCTTAGCCAGGAAAGCCCGACTGGGTGACCTTGAGCCAGTCCCTCCCTCTCAGTCCAGCCCACCTCACAGGGTGGTTGTTGTGGGGAAAATAGGAGGAGGAAAGGGTGTTAGGTGTATATTCGCTGCCTCGATTTATTTGTAAAAACAATAAAGGTGGGATGCAAATAAATAAAAAGAATAGATGATTATTGTTTCCCAAGTGAGCTCTTGCCAATTCCATGAGGGAAAGGAGCTGAGTCAGGAATCCCCATGGTGAGGCTGCAGGTGGGCCCAGCTTTCCTTCCTGCAGCATCAACTTGAGACCAACCTTTCGTCCATGCTCCTGTGGCCAGTGGAGGGGATGACTTTCTGCTCTCTCCTCCGTCTCCTCCTGGCCAGTCTGAGCAAGCCCTCCTGGGCTAGATCCACTCCAGATCCAAGCATCACCTTGTATTGCCCCCTGGGGAGGGAAGAGGCAGGGGCTGGCAAGGAGCCATGGATTTTGGGTGTATGGACGTGAGGCTGGTTTTATTTGATGTGTTATATTCCTGATGCCTGTTTTTCCATCATGTGGTCTCCCTTGTTTCTTTTCCCAGCCTCTACGGCCTTCCTGGCAGACAGCCAACCCCCAAACCGCAAAGCTCTGGTCGTCTATCCCATTTTCCTTTTCTACTTCGTGATCAGTTGGATGATCCTCACCTTCACACCGTAGCAGAGGCGCTCTCGGCAAAGACGAATGAAGGTGTTTTGGTTGCTTTCCAATGAAAAACATCTCTCTGGGGGTGACCTGCCCGCCTCTTGCTCTGTTTCTGCCAATATTTATAATGAATGTTCTGAAAAGGGCGGCAGGTTCCTCGCCTGAAGCCACAGAAGGCCTCCAGCTCCCTCCTTCCGGTTTCTTTGACGAGCACTACTGATGCCTCCCCCTGTTGAGTTCTGTTTTCTACTGATTCTGCGTGAGCCTCCAGTAAGAGAAAGGCTAGATGCAATCGTATCTTGGGCCATCAAGATAGTTGACAAAAGAAAATATTGACCATGTACAGTTACCGGATTTATCAGAAGGCCACCGGTCTTTAGGAGAACACCGTCTTACAGTTTCAAAACATTTGATTTCTTGGGATGGGAAATGTTATCCAATTTCACTTACTGCTCAAAAATGAAAAGGAAAGGGTGCAAGAAAGAGGTGTCTCTTTTTTCAGTTTTTTTCATCCGTTTTTAATCGTTCAAATTGGTGCACTTTCTTGGCTCCCTGCGCACGGTCTTGTGGAAGAAGACAAGAATAAAGCCATTTGGCCCAGATCAGCCACAAGAGATCTTGAATCTCTCTTTAATGCAGGAGGGGGGGGAAATGATTTGCACCAGAATAATCAGCAGCTAAGTGTAGAGATGCTGAGTGATTCTGGTATGGGAGGTCTTGATTCTGGAAACATGAAGTTCAACTTCTGACCTCCCGCGTGGAGTCTGGTCATCAGAAAGGATTTCAGCAGCGTGTGTCTTGCGGGGATGGTCGGTCTGACTTGGGAAAAGGGCTACGAGCTTTCTCTGTGAGTTCTGGCTTTTTAATTACAAAATGAGGAAACTTATTTATGTAGCAAGGTGTGGCACAAACTACTTCCTAGTTTCTGCACATTCACATCCATTGTGAAGTCTCTGGGAGAAGCTGCTCTTGAAACGGAATTCTTTGTTCTTGTCTAGCAAGATGTAGGCGGTAGCTGACAGCTTAGTGATACGCAGTTTAATTCACACGATGTGATACCTTATTTTGTATTATTATATTACCTGTTAAATTAATTTTTTTTTGTTGCACACTTGTCGGGGGTTTTGAAGAGTAAAAACTGTTCTATATAATATATAAATTGCTTCTTTGTGTTTCTTACTGAAAATATCTGCAGTTTTTTTTCTTTACTATGGGTTTTACAGGCCCCTTTTTATTTTTTCCTAAAATTCCAGCTGTTGGTCTTTTGTTTCTCTCAAGTAAATAAAGTCTGGGATAAATGATTTTGTTTTCCTAGCTTTGTTTGCCATCAAATGTAGAAAAGAGCAAGTTGATATGGAATATTATTTCGGTTCCAATGTGAAGGTATCTGTGGGGAGACCTCTTTAAGGTATATTTCTGCTTCTAACAACCTGAACTTAAGTAATCTCTATGTAAGGAAAGTTCTTTTTAAAATACTTGCTGGATCCTTTAAAATTAATCTTTATGGTGAAACTTTATTTCATATATCATTCTAATTGGGCACGAATGTGAATTTTATCCTTCTCTTAATCAATATATGTTATTCCAGGTTTGGCCTGAAAATAAAACTTTACATGGTAATTTAGAGGTGAGATGGGCAACATGTACATTTAACAAATAAACAGTTTTCTTTTGAATCAGACTTAAGTGACTCATTTTGTGTGTGTGCTCACAAGGTAATTGAATAGGTTTGCTGAAAAGGAAATCTCTTGGTCAAAACCAGAGGTAAGGATCTTGCTTTTTAGCTTTTTTTTTTTTAGACAACAGCTGCTTAAGACGGTGTCTTAAGACGGTACGGCGGGGAAGGGGCTGTGGAGCTGTGTTGATCCCAAGGGCAACCGCCAGGTTTCCATGGCTGGCCGTCTCTGTCCAACCTCTGCCTTTTTTAAGAGGTCCACAAAGACCTCCCCCCACAAAGGTGAAACTGGGGCACCTCTGTGGAAGAGACTGGAGCAGCCCTTGTGGGAAGTGCCCCCCTGCCCCCCGAAGCATGAAATATTTTGGGGAATATCAAAAGAAGCAGAAAGTTATATTTCCTCAAAGGGAGAAATAGAAAAACATGCTCTTAAAGACAGAAAGCAGTCTCAGTCTTAATAGCCCCCACCAGATATTTTGGGCCCATTAAGAAAAACTGGGACAATCTATTCACAAACACCTTTAGGAATTACCGTATTTTTCAGAGTATAAGACGGACCTTTTTCCTTCAGAAAAGGGTGAAAATCTGGGTGCATCTTATACACTGAATACAGCCCACCCCCTTCACCAAAATAGCTGTGCATAGCCTTTAGGAGGCTTCCAGAGTGCTACTGTGGGCTGGGGAAGTCAGAAATGAGCAAAAAACGGGCTGTTTTTTGCTCATTTTTGCTTCCCAAGCCCCCAGGAGTACTCTGTAAGTCTCCTAAAAGCTATGCATGCCCTTTTTTGACAAAAAAACGGCCCCATTTTTGTGAAAAACTGGCTGTTTTTTGGGAGGTCTGCAGGATGCAAAACCTTTTTTTAACTTGCCTCTTCAAAATCGTGGTGCTGCTTATACTCCAAAAAATATGGTAAAATGGCATTAAGAAGGGACAGCAGATGATCTTAACCCCATTCATTAAAAAAGGGGAAACAATACCAATCCCTTAAGAAAGTTAGAGGAGAGGCAATAGATAAGAGGATAAAATCAATTACACATGCCTGATAGGATTAGGACTAAGAAAGTAATTAAGACCCACAAACCTTTGCGAAACAAGTAAAACCAATCAAATAATAAAAACACACAAAGCAAACCTACAGATTACAAAATGCTGTAAAAACTGTATAATAGTCCATGTACAAGCCAAACCAATCGATCAGTTGTCCCAGAATCACATGCTGTTGGTGGTTCTATTCAACTTTCCAATCACCTCTGTGTTAATCTCATCTTGGACCTGGACCTGGGATTTTTCTTCCTACTATCTTAGTGGGGGAGCAGCCAGTGTCCCCCAAGGGCTTTGAAGAAAAGGGGAGGAGGCAGGCAGGCCCCTGAATCAGGCCCATCCTTCCATTTGGACCACTGTGCCAGGTTCGCATCGGGTGCTTGATCCTAAACTGTGGATAATTAAGAGGCTTTCAGAATGCTCCTGGGGGCTGGGGAGGGCAGAAATGAGCAAAACGGAGGGGGGGCGTTTCCACACACACACCCCAGTCCGCAGGAGCACTCTATAAGCCTCCTAAAGCGGTATATAAGTCTACTGCTATTGCTAAAGGCTATGCATGCCTTTTTTTTTTAACAAAAAACGTTTGTTTGTTTAGATTGATTGATTGGCCCAATCTTTCTTAATGAGCACAAAACAGTGATGTGTGGTGAGGTTTACGGTTGGTGAAGCAAGAGCGCGGCGGTGGCGAGAAGCAGCGTCCCTGCTGCTGTACCTGACAGGGGCGTCTTGCGTTTATGTCCGCCATAAACATGAGATGCCTCTGTCGGACACAGAGGCGGGGACGGAGGAGGCAGCGACAAAAAGGCGGAGCGCAGCGGTGGCGAGAAGCAGCGTCCCTGCTGCTGTACCTGACAGGGGCGTCTTGCGTTTATGTCCGCCATAAACATGAGATGCCTCTGTCGGACACAGAGGCGGGGACGGAGGAGGCAGCGACAAAAAGGCGGAGCGCAGCGGTGGCGAGAAGCAGCGTCCCT